CCCCAAAACCCCAAAACCCCAAAACCCCTCTAGTCAAGATAGACTTCAGATGTGAAGGTTGTTAAAATGTAAGAACTATAAATTGTACGAGGTTAGTTTTAAGATCATTCAATATTGTCGATAAATTCATTAGGACATGGGGAATATTGCCTGTTATGGAAACACTGTAAAGAGGCATAGTAGTGGCATAAAGATGCGATGAGAATACAAAAGTGAAATATTTGATGTGAAGATCCCTAATAATACTAGTTAAGAACATCATTTGACTTACAAAGAAATCAAATTTGTTTGGGAACCATCTTTCAGGCACTCTAAGCATATAGATGACTGCGCCTCCTATGTAAAGACCAGCCCCAAGAATCCAAAAGAATGAGTTAAATGTTGGCAAGTACTCAGAATTACTAAGAATCATAATAAACATTTTGAGTTTTACTTGAAGGTGATAATGTGAGTGAAAGGTGCCACTGCTACTAACCCCAAAATGACAAATAGTACTCCTCTTAAGACTCTGTATCTAGCCTTGTCAAACTTAGGCCATAGAGAAGCTAAGAAGACAAGTAAGCAGGAAACGCTTTGCAGAGACATGTACATATTTCTCCAAACTATAAAAAATATCATTCATAAGAAGGAATGACTAACAATGCATTGGCTTGCAATAAAAAGAGTAGTAAAGAGGAGGCATATTACTTCCAGCAATCATGAGACTGATTCCAGCATAGTCTAATCTTACAAGGAATTCTGAAGTCTTTTGACTGTGATCTTTAAACAAGTGGAAAATTGTTGAACATCCAAGACAGGAAATAGCCCCTGCAATATGAAGGAACAGCGGGACTTTTGATACATAGTATTTTACCTTTAGAGGATCTTCTATCACAGGTCCAAGCACGAGCCAATCTGATAGTGTAGCATCTTTATGCTTCTCTATCTGTTCTTATACGTTTTTTATCCAGGAATTAGCCTTCTTAATCATAAGGTCACACATCGATTTCAAGTAATCAATCTATATCGTATTTTAATAAAACATTATTAGATTACTTTGCTCTCAGTAAAATCTTTGTTACTTTGATCTATAGGCTTAAGTTAACTAAAATAAGATTTAGTCTGTTCCTTTATCTAAGATGGCAGTTCTGTTATTAGATTTATAACAGTTTAAATATAAGTGCCCTCTCTAAATTGATCAAAATTAGAATAAATTTCTGAGATTACTTAATGGTGTTAGGCACTTAAGATGAAATATGCATTAAGTCCATCATATATCCTTCCATATGCCATAAGAAGTTCTACTCTGAATTTTTGTAATGAGAACTTTCTATATTTGAGTGTCTATAATAGATAATTAAATAAAATGAAGCCTAAATTTGAATAAAATATGTGAACACAAATAATATGAAGTGAGTGCTGTTGAAAACATTTACTTACATTCTAATTTCATTTTTCCAAGCCTTGCCCCACAGTTAAAAAGCATAAGCCTCATCAATTTCCTAAGTTGATACAGATATTTTTAAGAACTTGGAGCATATTTCTTCGAAATCTTCAAGTTTTGAAATATCCGAGTGAGGTATTATAAAAGAAGCTTAGTTAACCAAAACTTCTCTGTCAGGAACAGATGTTGAACTTGAAAAGTAATTAGCCAGTGGACTTAAGGTGATAATCGTATAAATCAGCAGACCAATGAAACAGCCCACTCCAAGCAAGTGACTCCAAACATTAACTGATTCGTTGTGCAGCATAAACAAGGACTTGCATATTCTCTTTTTACTGTTAAAGTTAATCCTGTAGCCCCTTTAAATGTACTCGTTGTCTACAATAAAGTGAGGCGCCTTCTTGATGTGTCCGATAAAAGCTTTCAGCTTTACTTTTCCTTTTTCTTTCATATCTTGCAGCATTACCATACCATCTCCAAATAACCACTACTGTGGATTCCCATCAAGTTCGTTATCAGCCAACTCTAGCATTGATCCCTGGCTTGATCTCTAATTCATTTCAGTGTTTGACTAATTATGCTATTTATTCTCTTCCTCTTCCTTTTAATTCACAAACTTCCGATCATGTTCATTGAGATCTTCAAAATTTAAATTCATCGGATTACTTTTTGGATTGTCATCTATACTCTCAAAGGTATCTAAGGATTCCTTAGGTGTCTGAATTCCATAAAAGGAACTAAAGTTTTGGGTATTCTCCTCTGGCTGATCTTAGTTATTCATTATATGTATTATTATAGATTGAAGCAAAAAAATTATTATTTCATCTCTTGCAAAATTATCTCATATTTCATCATTTTATAATGCCGAAGGGGTTTTGGGGTTTTGGGGTTTTGGGG